CCTCGACCCCCCCCGTCCCCTTCCGTGCCTCTCCCCTTCACTCCTCCCCGTCCCCCCCTCCCATTTCCCCTTCCCCCCCCTCCCTCACCTCCACCTTCCTCCTTCCTCCTCCTTTCCTGTCTTCCTTCCGCTTCTCCCTTCCTTCCTCCTTCCCTCCTCCTTTCTCCCTTGTCTTCTTTCTTTTCTTTCTATCTTCTTCTTTCTTCTTCTCTCTCTTTTTTTTCTCATCTTTCTTCTCTCTCGTCTTCTCTTTCTCTCTCACTTCTTTCTTTCTTTCTTTCAATGGAGTCTCCCTCTGTCACACAAGCTGGAGTGCAGTGACATGATCTCGGCTCACTGCAACCTCTGCTTCCCAGGTTGAAGCAATTCTCCTGCCTCAGGCTCCTGAGTAGCTGGGATTACAGGGCACTCTACCACGCCCGGCTAATTTTTAGTACAGATGGGGTTTCTCCATGTTGGTCAGGTTGGTCTCAAGCTCCTGACCTCATGATTCACCTGCCTCGACCTCCCAAAGTGCTGGGATTACAGGCGTGAGTCAATGCTCCTGGCAGACTCTGAGTCCTTTCTTAGTTGCCTTCTTGGTCTTTGCTCAGTGTTTCTTCTCCTTTATCCCTTTCTTTATAGGACATTTGCCGACTGAACACTGCCTCAGTGTCTCCACTTCCCCGGGATCAAATGAACCAGGCTTAGTTTACTGCACACTGAGGGACAGGGAGGAGCGTGACCTTCTATCCCTTAATTGGGCTGAAGTGCTCTATGTCTCCTTTCCTAAAACTTTCCACTGCTGTCTTCCACTCAGCTCCCAGCCTCTCCCTCCTTTGACCTGCTCACTGTTTCACTAACCTCTGAACCCCTTATCTGATGATTTCACTTCATCATCCAGAGTGAGCTCAGAGGGATTCTTCACAATGTCTTCTCTCACCTTGATGACTCCAGAAGTTGTTACATATTTCATGACCCTTTCCATTTCCTTTAGAGCCAGTGAAAATTTTCCATCCAGGGCCACTTTCTGTGGCAAGTGACCTCTCTTAGGTCATCAGAATTTATTATTAGATAAGGTCCTGTTCAACAATCTGCCTATCAAAGGTCAAGAGAAAAGGACTGAGTTTCCCCTCTTAAGGATGCCTGCCTCACTCCTGGATGTCCCCGAGTAGCATATTGACCATCTTGGGGCAAAGTCTAGGTGAGAACAGATCAGAAAGTTCCTTCTGTCATTCTCAAGAGGGAGTAGAGGCTGAGATTCTGATTCAACACTTCTGAGTTTCATTCATTGTCTTAGTGCAAGTCATAGCCTGTGGTAAAGGGTTTTTATAAATAATTTATTATAGAAGCATCTGTATGTATTACTTTATCAAACATTTACTGATTTATCACTTACTTACTTAGTGCCTACTCTGTGCCAGACAGATAGACTGCTGTGCAGAGAAAGTCAAGGGCATTACGATCACTTCCCTTGAGGAACCCTCAGGACAGTGTAAAGAAAATGCTAGTTAGTTATTAGGTGGGTGAGAAAGTAATTGTGGTTTTTGCCATTCAAAAGTAGTGGCAAGCCTGGGCACAGTGGCTCACGCCTGTAATCCTAGCACTTTGGGAGACTGAGGTGGGCGGATCACGAGGTCAGTAGCTCAAGACCAACCTGGCCAACATGGTGAAACCCCATCTCTACTAAAAATACAAAAATTAGCTGGGTGTGGTGGCGTGCACCTGTAGTTTCAGCTACTCAGGAGGCTGAGGCAGGAGAATAGCTTGAACCCAGCAGGAGGAGCTTGCCCTGAGCTGAGATGGTGCCACTGCGTTCCAGCCTGGCAGCAGCACGAAACTCTGTCTCAAAAAAAAAAAAAAAAAGTAATGGCAAAAACCGCAATGAGTTTTGCACCAACCTAATAGTAATACATCAGTCTGAAAAATTTGGCAAGAGAAATAAGCACAGATGTACCTGAACCTGGGGTAGAAATGAGCTGGGAAATTTAGATTGTGAAGAGAAGCAGCAGTTAAGTTTTGAAGGAAGAGAAGAAGCTAAAGAAATAAACAAACTGGTGTACTACAGGCAGGGGTTGGGGGTAGGGGGAACGTCTGTGTGCAGGGGGGAAATGTAAAATAATATACAAATCACTACTCTCAATATATTGGTGTGGTTGTTGCACAGTCGTCATGTGAGAAATGTACAGAAGATAAAGGGAGGGAGGAAGGTCAAATCCAGGTTATGAAGCTCCTGGTATGGAAATAACAGTGAGCTAACTTTGTCTGTACAAGGATTATAGGCATACGATAAGCATTCACACATGAGACCAGGCATATTTGTGAAAATACATTTATTATTTATATATCAAACTCTATTGTTTACTGCAGAAAGGAAAAATACAAAAGCTGACACACTTGTGAAATAGTTAATCACGTTCAACATACTTGCGACTTCTTTGTTGACCAACATGTGGTCAGACTGACTTTCCACACATTTCAAATTTTGTTTTAGACCACCATGCCTCGTTTACTATCAGTGGTGTTCTGTGTGCCTCAGAGAAGCTTTGGATATTCTTGCCTTGTAAAATTCCCTCAAGTTTTTGCCTTTGTGAAATTAATCAGAAAACTGACTTGGCCTTGTATAGCACCCAGTGGATAGCAGTTTAATATGTTACAACTCCTAGATAACATTGCCACTTAAATGTTACCTATTATAGCCTGAATTTTTCTTAGTATGTTATATACTCTATCTCATATTAACATCTCAATAACTCTTGAGTTTGGTTTTATTATTTCTTTTCCCCAGAAAAAAAAAACTGAGGCTCAGAGATGATAAATGGTTTGGTTAAGGTCGCTTGCCTAGGGGGCAGAGCAGACATTTTAGCTGAATCTAAGGATGCACTTAGTGAGTATGGCAAATGAGCTGCTAACGTTGGGATTTTGAATAATGGCTAGCCAGTGAGGATGCTAGAGAGAATCCTCCTACGATCTCTCAGATCACATCACTGCAGCATGCATGCTTCTTTTTGCTAAGCCAGGGTGCTTAGGGAACCTGGGGCATC